CTCTCTCTCTCTCTCTCTCTCTCTCTCTCTCTCTCTCTCTCTCTCTCTCTCTCTCGTGTTATTGTTCCCCCTCTCGGCCCCCAAACGTTAGGATCTTGCATTACCCTTGCTACTTCAAAGGAGAGGATTGTAGTACGTACATTTGTATAATGCAGGGGGAAAACAAAACAAAAACAAAAACAAAAAACAGAAAAAAAAAGAGAAAAGCTCTCTTTCATGCTTTCAACTGGCCGTTCAGTCGTAGACAAGATCAACAAAGTGCAGCACAACTCCCTCAGCGGCGAAATCAGATGGATGAATCTTCAACGGGATAACAGCCAGGTGCAACTCTGTCAAATTCTCAACAAAGGAAGAACAAAAAACAAGCTGATTCGAGTCAACAAAGTGCAGCATGATGGAGTTGTGCATGAAAGAGAAAAGATCCCTTTCATGCACAACTCCGTCAGCGCCAAAATCAGATGGATAAATCCTTAACGGGATGACAGCCAGGTGCAGCTCGCTCAAATTCTCAACAAAGGAAGAACAAAAAACAAGTTCATTAGAGTGAAGATCATCCGGTCACACAGCTTCTATTTCTCGCTATACCTCGTCTGTTTCAAGCGTGCGTTTCAGGATCCCCGTCTCTTGAAAGATTAGCCGTGCTATAACCAACTGACCAACTGGCCTAGTTCAGTTGGTACACCACTGAACTGTTAAAATACAGCCCAGGTCCTGCGTTCGAACTCCACTGGAACCAGACGAGTAAAGTACTGCAATAACCTACGGCCGGCCTGGTTATTGAGATGATGACATCTCAGGGCCGTAGCTGCCGAACCCTTAACAAAAAAAGTTTACCCGTCTTTTGAAAAAGAAGCTAGGTAAGCTCAATAGCTGCTATAAGCTTACGCAACCTTCATCTCCCTCCGTAAGCCGTTTCACACGAGAGCGTCCCCCGCGATCCGTGATTTTTTGCGACCACTCATGTTGTGTTCCTCCCTTACCTAGTACACTGATGAACTCCTTGCCACGTGGCAGTTTGTCGTTATCCCTCTGCGGACCGTCTCGCCTGTACGTTCATTACCACCCCCCCACTTTCTCACTGTCCATCAATCTGATGGAAACTATTCAATGTATCTGGACACCCTGCACACGCTGGTCTTGCATCCGTCAGCGAATAAAATGAACAGAACTCTGGCACGTGGCAGTTTTGTCTTTATCCCCCTTCCACCATAGCTATCCCGCCCTCGACCTCGGAGGACGAGGGCGAAGAGACATCAACTACAAGCCTGCCGTGAGTCACTTTCACCACGGGGCAGTTGCCTGTCTTAGGAGACCACCTCCCCCCTGCCAACCAAGCATCGTGAGTTTTCTTCGCGACTTTACCCAGAGGAACCAGAAGTTACCAGGGTGACA